ATGCAAAATGAATAAAAAGATTTTTCAAAAAAAAAAAGATAAACATTACCCTTTAGGGTTAGTTGACACCAAGCGCGTTCCAGGAGCAGAGTGGAGCAGTTATAGACTGGATCAAAACTGCGTCCAATGAATTGCAATCGTATTTTGGGCTCTAGTTCACACCACAGCGTTCAGTTCCAGAGCATGTGAACAAACTGCAGCAAGCCCTATTTTTCCTGCTCTGTAACGCATGAAAACACATAAACGCATGTAAACGCACTGAAAGCCCATTTTAATCTAAAGAAAAAATACATTTTTTTTTTTTTTTTTTACAAAAACCGCCTGGAATGCGGCAAAAACCTTAGGACTTGTTCATACCAATGCAGACCAGATCTGCATGAGTTTCTGCACACGCAGTGCAGTGTGTTTTGCCGCGTTTTTGACGCCTTCAGGGCTGTATTTTCACACAAAAAAAATGTGTTTTAAACTTAATGTTGTTTCAGTGTGTTTGCATGTGTTTTTGATGCGTTTGCATGCGTTCCAGAGCGTCCAAGTGCAGGAAAAATAAGGCTTGCTGCAGTTTTTTGACATGCTCTGGAACTGCATGCTGTGAGCCAAAAATACCATTGGAATACACTGGACACAGTTTTGATCCGGGCTGTAACTGCTCTGCTCCTGGAACGCGCTTCGTGTCAACTAATTTAAATTATTATTTGATTGGCGTGAACTAGCCCTTAGTGTCCTTAATGAGAATAACATGTAATGTAGGGCTTCTATGCTCAAAAAAAAAAAATGCAAAAAAGGCTTGAACAGTTAGGAGCCAAGCATAGCACAGTCGAAGATTGTTCCTCACTCCCATTGAGGAGAATTGATGCAAACTTGAAAATACAAAATTTGGAACAGCTGTGCATGGCAAACAATCAGCTTCTCTCTTTCATTTTATAATAGGAACAGAACAAACTGAAGAGATAATCTGAATGGTTACTATGGGCAACTGCTCCAGATTTTGTTTGTCCTGTTTTGACATATTCCCCTCATTGATTTTTACTCTTTTGAATTGGGCACATATTACTTGACAAATAAACTGAAGACAAAGGTGAAGGGGGTGTTTCAACACATTTGGCGAATATCTATATGGGTACATGCTTTGATTACATTGGGATTTGATTTAATGAGTAAATGGAGTGCGGAGCACCTTTTCGGTGTGTTTGGTAGTTCGATTCATGATTGTGGACTGGTACATGCTGAACAAATCGGAACATGTAAATTCTGCTTTTTAGCATTTTTCATAATTTTAACAGAGAAATAACTGTTGCACTTTGCTATAGAGGTGCTTTGTAATATTGTTATTGGGTGGTTTGGCAGAGTAAACTACGATCCTGTAAGGAGGATTGTAGATTATCACGAAGGATGTCATTGTGCAGCTCAGAATACATTCCCTAATTGCTTTCTCTACTGATCACTGTGATGACTTATCACTGCCTTTCACAGCTGTTTCGTGTGATAAGTTTTCTTTTCGCAGGTTATTAAAAAACCTCTGTGCAGCCGAGAAAAACAAAAATAATCTGCTGAGTAAAGTTAAATCGTGATAAAGCTACTTTGATCACTGTTTATTAAACGTACACCTTAGCCTCCTAGATTTTTTTTATGTGCAAATCTGTTTAGCCGCTCCTTTTATCATGTGCACTATTTTCCCAATTGCACCTGTTTGCGGAAGTTTGCAACTGTCTACATAAGCACTTCTCCTGCAGCTGTCTGAAACTGGAGCATCATCTAACAAAACAATCGCTACTTAACCCCATAAGGACAAAGGCCTTTTTTTATGTGTTTGTTTACATGTTATAATTCACATTTTACTTCAAAACCCCCAAACATATATTTTCTGAAAGCTAAAACCCTATGGAATAAAATGGTGGCAGTTGCAAATTTTTATGTTGCACGACATTAGCGCAACTTTCTATCAAACCCAAAAATGTTGTGAAAAATGCACTTAAGTTAAATGTAGTGCCCCAAAACACTATATAAACCATTTTTTTTTTAAATATAAAAGATGAGGTTACAAAAGTAAATAGATACCCAACATGCCTAGGTTAAAAATTGTGTGCGTCCGTGAAACTGTGACAGAATTCAGTACCCCAAAAAGTCCATACACAACATTTTAGAAACAGGTCATCAGTTTAGAGCAGTGGTTCTCAACCTGTGTAACCTCAGGACCCACATTTGTCCTTGGTCATTAATTCGCGACCCAAGTCGCAGCGCATTGGAACGCACGGCATTGCGGTACCGCACGTTCCGATGCGGGCAATCAAACTGTGGACAGGAGATGATGTGTGTTGAGAACCACTGGTTTAGAGAGCGTCATCAGTTTATGTGTAAATATTGGCCCTAGAATTATTGTTCTCACTCCTGCGTGTGCGGCGATACCCAACATGTGTAGTGCAATCGTCGTTTTCATATGTAGGTGCACCTGACGGCGTTTACATGACGACGCGCGTGCTTGCAGGATCCGGGGACTTAAAAAAATGTTTTTTACATTTTATTTATTTATTTTTAAAACTTTTTTTAACTTTAATTGCTATCACATAGAGGGGCTTACAAGCCCCCCAAGTGAAAGCATATTGGCAGTGACAGGAACTCTTTAAGGTGATGCTGGGGGTCCAAAAGACCCCCAGTGTCACCTTAACACTCTAAATAAGCTATTGAAGTGCAGATCACTTGCGTTGCTCCCGGTCCCAGAGTACGGGCAGGGGATCGGCACATGGATGTTCGCCGCTCCCCTCCCCAGCTTCCTGCCGACACCCAG